ATTTTTAAACCTACATTCCAGGACATAGTAAAATTCTTTAAAATTTATCAAAGCGCTCTTCCCCGGTATAAAAAGAATTTGTTCGATTTTTAAATCGGTTGTTTGTTTCAACAAAAACAACAATGTTCACTGTAGGTCAGCGGTGGGCTGTTCATTTCCTCCAACAACAAATACAAAACACGCGCAAAAAAAATGTACATGCTCGAGCCAAGCCGCACAAATAAGGGTTACTTTTTGTTGCTTTTCTTTTGTTGTTTGTTTTGCTGCTGGACTGCTCAAAAATTGCAATTTCGTGCCCACCGCAGATTATAACAATTTAATTCGCTAATACGGATTTATATTCTATTTCTTTATTCTTCTTTTATTCCCGAGCATAAGAGAAGAAAAAAGAAATATAATGTGAATGCAGCGAAACATTAATATAATTTGAACACAGTTTTTTCATAAATTTAACTTTTTATACAATTGAGATTTTTTTTATTTAACACGCGTACAACACATATTATTAATTATTTAAAAACTGCACTTACCTGATAATAATAATAATCACAGATTACTTATTTTCACTTATTAAAACTTCGTGTGACGATTGCAAATAGCAAAGAACAAAGCAAAAGAGTTCTGTCGACGCAGGCGCAAAGAAGACGAAAAGATAAAACGAAGTTCTCTGCTTCTGCGCACGGTCGGCAGAACCGAATTACGTTCGGCACACGCGGAAAAGAAAGAAACAAAAGAAAAAACGAGGGGGAACGTTGTGAGTTGCTGCGGACACCGCAACTCTACAGTTATACCCGATACTAAGTCAGTATGGCTCTCCTCCGGCAGACGCCGCTTATATTAATCGACACGACAAAGAGTGCGTGTGAGAGAGACAGAAAATCAGTCTGAAAGTGATGTCGGGCGCTGCGTAGCCAATGCAAATTGATTTGTTTCCTTTCGCTATAAAAATTATCTGATCTGATCCAGATTCAGCAATCTGATAGATATGGTCGTTATCTATGATTCTGCGTTTTTAGTTTTCTCAAATCTGCAATATTGTGGATGCAACAGATTTTCGTCCTTTGTGTGGGCGGAAGGGGGTGGGGCGAAATTTTGAGATATACGTTTTATAGTGAGATCTAACAGGAGTACGGACACTAAATTTGGTTACTCTAGCCTTAATACTCTCTGAGATTTGTGAATATCCCCAGATTTGCATCCTTTGCTTGGGCGGAAGGGGGTGTGGCGAAATTTTGAAACAAACTCGTCTCGGTCTGATATATTAGGAGTGTGGATACCAAATTTGGTTGCTCTAGCTTTTATAGTCTCTGAGATCTAGGCGCTAATGTTTTACTCTAAGCAAAGCCGCCTATGCTACGTGTGTGTTAGAGAGAGACAGGGCGAGAAAAAATGAAATTGTTTTCTTGATGCTGGCTATAATAATAATACGATCCAATTCAGATTCTGCAGTCTAAGAGATATGGTCATTCTCTACGATTCTGCGTTTTTGGTTTTCTCGTATCGTCGAAATTGTGGATGCCACAGATTTTCGCCCTTTGTGGGGGCGGAAGTGGGCGGGGCAAAGTTTTGAAATATTTGTGTAGCAGTGACAAATCACAGAAGTCTGGATCCAAAACATCGTTGCTCTAGCTCTTATAGTCTTTGAGCATTAGGCGCTGAAGGGGACGGACAGACGGACAGACGGACGGACGGACGGACGGACAGACGGACAGACGGACAGACAGACATGGCTCAATCGACTCGGCTATTGATGCTGATCAAGAATATATATACTTTATGGGGTCGGAAACGATTCCTTCTGGACGTTACACACATCCACTTTTACCACAAATCTAATATACCCCAATACTCATTTTGAGTATCGGGTATAACAAAGGGTTCGATTTGGCTGGCGTCAACGCCTCGATGACATTGTAGATGACATTCGTCATCGCTCACTGCTGGTACTGCTGATACATATGTATGTATTGGAATTGTATAAGGAATTGCCTGTGCGTGCAGCTTAAAAGCAGACAAAGCCATTGGGTGACAAGCATATTAAGCTGAAAATAGCGAAACTTAAGTGGGACCAGTTAAGGTTCCTGATACGAGAGAGGAACTTGGCGCTTTCTGGGTCTAGAGCCGAATTAATACAACGAATAATAGAGTTTAAAAAATCTGAAGACGTAGAGATGGCACAAGGAGCTGGATTCACAAGTCAACAAGTCACAATCGGCTGCGATTTCACATATACTTATGTCGGAGCATGAAGACCCTGATGCGGCACATCGTTCCCTTGATTCTCATCCGCCATCTTGATTCACCGCTGTCGCACAGCAAGTCACTTGCGTCGCGTTAGTAGTCCCATGATGGGACTCCCATCTCGACTCTCAACAACAACACTAGCAACATGCTCATCTGAGACGCTCTCTCTCTCGCTCAGACTATGCTCTCAGCAACATTGGATATCAACTAGATATATCGATACAGCTATCGTAGTAACTAATTTTATTGTAAATCGATTACTTATTTTATTTCAAAATACTGGAATTATTTCATAATCTCCGACATATACAACACGAAATGACGGAGCTGAAGAATATGATGGCTCAGTTGGTCACCATGCAAATGCTTAACGCAGAGGCAACCGCGGCAGCAGCAACAGCTAATCAGCAGCAGAAAATCAGTGAAGAGGATACCCAAGAGATTTTCCACGACAGTAGCCCTGGTGGACAGGCTACCAAAAACGTTAGGCAAGCATCGGTCAAAGAAACAGCAAACACCTTGCCAACAAAGTAGTTGATGCTTACCAATGGGACGAGAAATTTTGATTGCTAGCAATTTATACACGGCTTAAGGGCCCCGCCAAATTGTGGCTCGACTCTTCGCCGGTTCTACACACCACATAGAACAACTTCGCTGCAGCTATACAAGACGAGTTTGAAGCTAACCCAGACGAGGCGGAAGTTCACTTTAATAAGGCTAATGCAACCAGACGATCGAAGGAAACAGTGAAGGAGTACTATTTCCGGATGTCCGCCCTTGGCGTGCGGTACAAACTTGGTGAAGCAATGCACTTTTCGACTATGAAGCAGTTTCGTGATACAGCTGATTCTTATTTCGTAAATAGAGGTCGGCCAATTGCGAACGAAAAGGAATTCTTATCAAAAGGCAACAACTTTGAGGCAAAACAGGACAACGATGTAAAGCCAATAAAACCGAAGGAAGCTCAGAAGTGGTACAATTGTGGAGAAGTCGGGCATTTCGCTAATTCATGCCCAAAGCTGAAGAAGAAGTCTGGAAGTCAGGCTAGTATCATGCGCCAGTCAGTTGCCCAATAAATCAACGCTGATCGCCAAAGGTGCTCTATGAAAATACGACGCATTTGTGGCGGTTCTTGTATCCTTACCGAAGTAATGGTTGTGGATATGGACATCGATGGAAAAATAATTACAGCCAAAGTATACGTAGCAGACGACGATCTCTTGCAGGAGGACTTCCTGCTGGGACAGGACGTCATCATTAGTGCTCATCTATTGCGTCAAGTCAGGCCATGAAATATCTAACAACTTATTTGATTCCCTTACATATACCTTACATATACGTAACTAAACGTGCAACAAAATAAAATTTCAATTTTAAACTTTGCACTTCATTTCAATTCCATACCTGAACAAAATGAAGACTGACGCCAAACCGGATCAATTCGACTTGTCAGAGGAGGTGGCCAAGCTGCAGTTCGAGATAGCCCCTATTGTAATGGATGACGAGGACGGTTTCTCGGACTCCGACTCGGACTTTGATTCACTTGAGGACATTGAGGACGATAATACTTATCTCCCGGTTAATAGTAGTGTCTTGGCTAATAATAACGACCAGGCTAATAACGATGATTAAGATAAGCAAGAGAACCAAGCTATCCAAGATGAGCAGGAGCCGCCTGCCGAAGTTGAAAACACAATAAAGTTATACAATCTTCCATTATGTTCAAAAATTTGTGGTTTTTCCTCAAGCTTCAAGATCAAGTCTGGCTTATAACAGCTGGCGGCAGCACTACGAGGGGGCTGTTAGGGTGTCAGGGAGTAACCGCTCTATAATTGTTGAGACACTCGCCTTGCCATCATACATTGCAATGTTTTGTCTGCAAAAGTGAAAAACGAGGCTCGGTCCGTCTTTTGCCTTTTCGGGAAAAGCAAAGCATACTTTTGGGGTTCGCAATAATTGTTCTCGTGTATAATGCATGTAAGAAGTGTCTTTTATTGACATGTTGCATTGGCAGATGTATAATCCTGATATGCGGGCCGCCGCTTTACTCCATACCTGGTACCACTTACCATACAGTATATAGATGTGCCAGTTCATACAACCACTAATCATATAGTATATAGATGTGCCAGTTCATGCAACGAAAGCGTCACACACTGGCTAGCGCGTTCAATACCCCAGAGTGACGTCATCATGAGAGAGAGAGCGCAGAGAGAACATCTTTGCATGTGTTAGTACACACGCAATAAATTGCAGTACGGGTCATCGATGACTCAGCTGCTGACACGTCGATGAACGCCTCACTACCCCCGGTGACATAGTCGATGACCGGCCATACGCTGAGCTGTTTACTTTAACATGGAGATGTCCTAGGGCATAATCGATGACATTGTCATCGAGCGTTGCCGAAAAATCATGCACTTAATACACGATGATTTTTCACGAAAAATCATGCATTTTATAAGTGATGATTTTTTGGCTTAAATCATCGCTTATTAAATGCATGATTTTTGCCTAAAGATCATGCACATAATAAGCGATGATTTTTACCTAAAAATCATGCATTTTATAGGTGATGAATGAAAAAATTCAATGAAACTTTGAAAAGATATTGTGAGCGAGAACTATCCTGAGAACTTAACGCCAGGTTAGACTTTTATGTTGAGCGGAATATTATAAGTACTCAGAAAATCACAACATCATGTTATAAAATATATTTCGGAAAACAGAATATATATTATAATTCTACAAAAATATGGAGAAGCGCCCAAAGAACGGTAAATGTGCAAAGGGGCAAAAGCTATCCAGACATAGGGATCGCAGCGGTACCGAAAATCATCATAAAAAGATGAATAGGCTGTTCAACGATTTCTATGATATCCTGGAAAACTCTCCTCTACCGGAAGATGCCTTCGAAACCAGCTCGCGTGAGTACCGCCATGCTATGTTGTGGCTAAATAAGCTCATCGCCATGCAGTGCAACACAGAGATCGATGGACAGATCCGCAATGTCCACATGACCAACCTGAGCGTGTGCATCAAGCAGCAGCGCCTGGACGCCGTATTCAAAAAGACACCACCTGTTAAGCTAGAATGGATGGAGTTCCAGGACAACACGATAAAGTCCCAGTCCAAAGACGGCTTTGAGGATCGCATGGAACAGACCACTCCCTGTCCGCACACGGCTTCGCTGACGCCATCCGACATGAAAATTCAGTCCTTCAACAAGCCCATTAAGGAAGCTCAGCACCAAATGGTACAGATAAGGGATGAACATCAAAATCTCTATGACTCGGAGGCATATCCGAAACAGACTTCAATGGAGCCATTTGAGATGCGACGCTACTGCTTCAACCAGTCTGTGGGTGAAGATGAAGATCTGCAGCTTATGGAGAATACCAGAGGCAAAGGTATTCATTTTTCTGATCCGGGGCTATCTTCACCCCTGTCACAAGTAGAATCATCCAGCATGGAATATGGCACTTCCAAACAAACTACTAGCGAAGCTCAGCATAATATGGAAAAGACTATAAATGAATCTCAACAGCTGTACGACCAAAGACCATCTCCTCCACCAACTTCACTAAAGCCATCCGGGATCAAAAGTTACTCTTTTAACCAGTCTATAGACAAAGATCAGCACACCATGGAGGAAAACATGCGTGAGCGAATTCAATTTTTTGATCCGAGGTTATCCTCGCCTTCGTCATATGTAGACCCACGTAACATGGAATATCGACCTTTCAACCAGCCTATGGGCGGAGATCAGCACCCCATGGATGATCCCGTACATGAAGGTATTCACTTTTTGATATCTTCTACATTTTTTTTATACTTTTATACCCGATACTCAAAGATTATAGGTATCTACATTAGTATTAGTTTTGTGTTAGGGTAAAAAGAGAGATAGACCGATGGAACAGAATTAAAACCAGTAGTAGAAAAATGGAAACAGATAAAATATTTTAAATGTCTGATAAAATAGGTCACTATGAAAGAGGATAAACGGGGTGCAAAAATGTACAGTTTAACCCATCTAGCGGTTGTGGTTTTCTCTTTCTCTCAATATTGTTTCCATCTCTCATGAAAACAACGAACAAGATTGAGAGAGATTGCGGTCTGCGGTGCCTGCGGTGTCCAAAATCTCTACAAATTCCCACTTAGTTTTAATATTTTAAAATATGATTTTCCATTTTTATCATTGCTTTCATCATATGCAGATTCATCCAGCATGCAATATCGCGCTAACAGACCGTCTATGGGCGGAGATGGAGATCAGCACCTTAAAGGGGGTACCAATGGTGAAAGAATTAAATTTTTTTATCCGGGAGTATCTTCGCCTTCGTCACATGAAGGCTCATGCAACATAGAATATAAATCTTTCAATCAGTTTATTGGCGGTTCTCAGCCTCACATGGAGCAGACTATGAATAAACCTCAAAATATTTACAACCAGGGACCATCTCCGCCACAGACTTCACTGGTTCCATCCGGAATGAGACGTAACTCCTTATACCAGTCTATAGGTGGAGATCAGAACCTCAAGGAGGATACCTTAGAGGAACAATCTCAACGTTTTGACCCAGGGCTATCTTTGACTTTGTCGAATGTAGGCCCATGCAACATGGAATCTCGAGCTCTTAACCAGCTTATGGGCGGCGTTCAACCCCGAATGGAACATCAAGGGCCATCTCCGCCACCGAATTCACTGGATCCATCAGGGATAAGACATTACTCCTATAACCAGTCTATAGACGAAGGTATTCCATTATTCCATCCGGAGCTATCTTCGCCTTCGTCACATGCAGAGTCATCCAGAATGGAATATCGCGCTTTCAACCAGTCTATGGATGGAGGTCAGCATCAGATGGAACAGACTATGGATGAACCTCATGCATATCCAACCACGACTTCACTGGAGCCATCCGAGATGAGACGTCACTCATTCAACCAGTCTATGGGTGAAGATGAAGATCTGCAGCTCATAGAAAATACCAGAGGTGAAGGTATTCAATATTCTGATCCGGGGCTATCTTCGCCTTCGTCACAAGTAGAATCATCCGGCATGGAATATCGCACTTCCAATCAGACTATGGACGGAGCTCACCATTACATGGAACAGACTATGGATGAACCTAAACTTCTCCACGACCAAATACCATCTTCGAACCCGAATTCACTGGATCCATCAGGGATGAGACGTCATTCCATCAAACATTCTTTAGGTGGTGATCAGCACCTCAATGAGGATACCATAGCGGAACAATCTCAACTTTTTCATCTAGGGCAATCTTTGTCTTCGTCACATGTAGACCCTTGCAACATCGAACATAGAGCTTTCAAGCTGTCTACAGGCGGTGATCAGCACCCCATAGAGAATACCAGGGCTGAAGGTATTAAATTTTTTGATCCTAAGCTATCGACGTTGTCTCCGCCATCCCCACCGGCGGGACTATCTAGCATGAGGCATCAATTCGACAAAACGACTAAGGATGCACCTCAAATTTACGATTCAAGGCTACCCGCCATGCGAGCGTGTTTTATCGAGAAGCCCATACGGGGGCCTCAAAATGACATGCAACAGAAATTACGTGAAATTCCGAAAATTTTTGGAACGACCAATGTTGGAGACCAGCAATTGTTCGATACAAAGGGTCCATCTGGTATAGAAAAGTTCTCTTTTAATCAGTCTATGGGTGGCCCTCAGCACATCAAGCAAAAGATTATAGGTGCAATTCAGCAAGACGGCAAAAATACCAAGGGTGGATCTCAGAAATTCCAGGGTCCGGGACCATCCGGCTTGGGAGTGCATTTACAAGATTCTAAGGGACGCGCTACCGGCGAGTCCATGGGCGGCCCTCAGAATATAATGCAAAAGACAATAGGTAAGCCGCCTAATTACCACGAAAAAACCAATGGTGCACCTCGGAAATTCAAAGGTCCAAGACAATCTGGATTAGGGCAGCGCTCTTTGAACCAGTCTATAAACAGACCTCAGCACCTCATGAAGAAGAAGACCATGGATGCTTGTCTGCAAGGCGACAAAAAGACCAAAGGTGGTCCTCAGAATTTGGAATGTCGCGGACCATCCGGCCTTGAGGTGAATATATGGGATTCTATGGGACACGCTAAAGGCAAGTTCATGGGCGGCTCTCAGAACCTCATGTTAAAGACCATGGTTGAGCGGCTTAAATTCCACGAAATGAGAAAGCATAAACCTCAGAAAGTATACGACCCTATGACGCCAACGAAAGGCCGCCGACACTTTGGATGTTCTGTGTGTTCTGCGACATCCTCTAAATGCACCCCAGAGATGCTCACAGTCGTCGAGCCACCTTTTTATGACGTCAAATATCCCAATACCGCTCGATCAACATATAGTGACGGATCCCACTATGTCACTCCATACCCCAGCAGTGAAGAAGCCTCTGACAGCCCAACTCCCAGAACGAAGGGGACAGAGAAACGAGAAGACGTCCACAAAAACCTGCGCGAGGACATGCTCCATGTTTTGATGTCAGTCCGACGCGAATTGGGCGGTGAAGTGACATTCCGAGAGGATGACTATCTGGAGAAAGAGATGGCCCGCTACAAGGCAGTGCTCATTAAAACCAAAGAAAAAAAACTTAAAAAAATAATGCGGGGTGGGGATCCCAAGGCCGAGCGCCGCTATTTATTGGAGAACATGGAAAGAGATCTGCTCTCTGTTTTAAAATAGAGAGTACATAATGTATTTTTTTCGTTTTTATATATTTTTTGATTTCAATACAGTACGAAAAACGACACTTTTTCTGTATGTTTGTAGTAGGGCGGATTCGTCATCTTACAACGAGACGGTGAACAGATAAACGGGGTCAGCATTGAATGTGTCCAATATTCTTCATAGATTCATGTATTTACGTGTGGTTTTGTAGGTCATGTATGTGTAATGTGTTGGTAGCGCGGCCGGTTAAAACGGGGGTTGAATCGTAGCTAAAACTTAGCTTAAGCGTTACGCTGTGGGGGGGTTGGGGGGACGTGGGGCCATGTCTGGATGCAAAAAACTAGGATGAAATAGAAAAGTCTAAGAAGTATTAGTAAGAAGATTAGAACGGGTTAAAGGCACATTTAGAACATTGCAAATTGCCACGAGGTTACATGGTCTGATGAGGCCATGTTGGTCTAAGGACGCATTTACATTCGACTGCCGGCTTGAATTCGGCACGGAGCGTTGATCTTTCATACCGTATTATTTTGGAAATATTCGAGAAATTCTTCGGAGGAAGCTGGAAGGAAATTACTTTCGTAGTCTCGAGTCTTCTTCTACCAGTTTGATAGGTAGTCTGAAAATTTTACTTGAAAAGGATGAAATTTGATTTTTCCAGCCAAGAGAAAGCTGGAGGAACCGAACAATAACACGCCGAAGCGTAAAAAGAGAATGACAGTTCCCTCCACTAGGCAGCGCGGAAGACCGAGACCGAGTTTCTTAACTTATAATTAAATGCATTTTTTTGTAGTCTCGATAGCTTAATATACTAGTAAAGACTTGAGAAGAAAAATTAAGAATAATAAAGATATAAGGATGACAATCATATATGGGTAACAGATCCTAAAAGGGTGAGAGGTACCAATAAGTTAAGGTTACGTCATATAATATATAATGATATCAATGGAAAAATATGGGTAACACGCAGGTTACTTCTCAGCTCAGTGCATATAAGTTAAATTTTTATATTAATAAATTCAACGTATTAAGTAAGTATTTTTGCGGACGAAGTCCGTGTTCTCTATTTGACGAATAATTAAATTCTGAATCCCTATTCTTACTGTGGGTTCGCGACCGCGGTATGTTGCAGCGATGCAACGACAGCAGTTCAGCCGTAGCGAGGTATCCCGGCTCGGAATCCCTCGCCGTCGGCGGATATCGTCCAGACAGCAGTTCCATCCAGCAGTTTTGGCGATCTGGAGCGGAACGTTTCGGTTGCTGGTGTTTTGGCAACTTTGTCGTTGACTCTTCCACAACTTTTTCTTCCCGCTTTTGCTATATTCATTACTTGCTCGTATATTCCACCTTCTTCGGATATTTCAATATATGAGCAATTTATACCCGAGCGCTTCCGCTTACTATACCTGAAGACGTCTACCATACTACTTTCGAAGTGTCGCTAGATATAGGACCAACTGTATTGGATCGGTTGAGAAGGCCACTTGAACGTGTCCGTTGCTTTCGCAAAGCCGAGTTAACGAAGCTTAATAATCTAATAAGGGATTTTGATTGGCCCGCTTTGTACTTGTGCACTGATGTCATAAAAGGCACAAACATTTTTATACCCGATACTCAAAATGAGTATTGGGGTATATTAGATTTGTGGTAAAAGTGGATGTGTGTAACGTCCAGAAGGAATCGTTTCCGACCCCATAAAGTATATATATTCTTGATCAGCATCAATAGCCGAGTCGATTGAGCCATGTCTGTCTGTCCGTCTGTCCGTCCCCTTCAGCGCCTAATGCTCAAAGACTATAAGAGCTAGAGCAACGATGTTTTGGATCCAGACTTCTGTGATATGTCACTGCTACAAAAATATTTCGAAACTTTGCCCCGCCCTTTTCCGCCCCCACAAAGGGCGAAAATCTGTGGCATCCACAATTTTAAAGATACGAGAAAACCAAAAACGCAGAATCGTAGAGAATGACCATATCTTTTAGACTGCAGAATCTGAATTGAATCGTATTATTATTATAGCCAGCATCAAGACAACAATTTCATTTTTTCTCGCCCTGTCTCTCTCTAACACACACGTAGCATAGGCGGCTTTGCTTAGAGTAAAACATTAGCGCCTAGATCTCAGAGACTATAAAAGCTAGAGCAACCAAATTTGGTATCCACACTCCTAATATATCGGACCGAGACGAGTTTGTTTCAAAATTTCGCCACACCCCCTTCCGCCCCCGCAAAGGATGAAAATCTGGGGATATTCACAAATCTCAGAGACATTAAAGCTAGAGTAACCAAATTTAGTATCCGCACTCCTGTTAGATCTCACTATAAAACGTATATCTCAAAATTTCGCCCCACCCCCTTCCGCCCCCACAAAGGACGAAAATCTGTTGCATCCACAATATTGCAGATTTGAGAAAACTAAAAACGCAGAATCATAGATAATGACCATATCTATCAGATGGCTGAATCTGGATCAGATCAGATCACTTTTATAGCCAAAAGGAACAAATCAATTTGAAGTGGCTACGCAGCGCCCGACGTCACGCTCAGACTGATTTTCTGTCTCTCTCGCACGCACTCTTTGTCGTGTCGTTTAATATTAGCGGCGTCTGCCAGAGGAGCGCCATACTGACTAAGTATCGGGTATAACTGTAGAGTTGCGGTGTCCGCAGCAACTCACAACGTTCCCCCTCGTTTACAATGCTCTTGGCACATTTTTTGATTCTTGTGTCCCGCTTTCTTGTCCGATTAGATCTGGAAAACCCCATTGGTTTACCAAAGAGTTATTCAGCCTAAAAAACTTAAAATCAAGACTTCATAAAAAATTTCAGGAAGTTGGTTCTCCTACTTCTCACTCTCGCTATGCAATAGCTCGGTCAAACTTTTCAGTTCTTAATGCACAATGCTTTAAGAACTACCTATCTCGTTGCAGGATACGTTTTTCTCAGGACCCTAAACAGTTTTACTGCTTCGTAAACAGTAAGCGTAGAACGTCCGCACACCCATCCTCGCTATCATTTTGTAATACGTCGGCAAATAATGATCAGGCAATTGCCGATCTTTTTGCCCAGTTTTTCCAAACCACCTATTCTGAGGAAAGCTACTCTGGTCAACCGTACCCATACGGTTTACCGAGGTCGAACGGCACTTTCAGTCCCTTCTGAACTGGAAGGAATCGTTTATAATTCCTCTCCATAAAAAAGGTAGCAAGTCTGATGCAAAAAATTATAGAGGTATAGCAAAGTTATCCGCTATTCCCAAAATGTTTGAGAAGGTTTTAACTCCGCACTTGCAACATCTCTGCAAGTCACTTATATCTCCAACTCAGCATGGATTTATAAGGCGGCGATCAACCACCACGAACTTGTTAGAGTTTACCTCTTTCATTATTAAGGCTTTCAAAGTAACTTACAGACGGATGTTATTTACACCGACTTTAGTAGATCATTCGACTCTGTAAACCATTCCCTTTTAAGCTTGACCTTTTAGGGTTTCCGCCCAACCTCCTGAGATGGATTTCTAGCTATCTTTGTTGTAGGTCTCAAAGAGTCCTCTTCAAAAACTCCCTCTCTTTACCAGTAAAGGTTTCTTCGGGAGTACCACAGGGCGGCCATCTAGGCCCCTTACTCTTCACACTCTTTATTAATGACTTGCCTTCAGTATTAACATACTCTCGAGTACTTATGTATGCGGATGATGTTGAACTCTGTGTCCAGAATAAGGACATTTCATTTCATTCTCGCTTGCAATCCGATCTCAATAGCTTTCAGTCATGGTGTTGTGCAAACTTGTTACACCTTAATGCCTCGAAATGCAGAGTTATAACATTTCATCGTTCTAGCCCTTTGTTGGCTCCCTACACCCTATTTGGTGGTTCTTTTGAGAGAATTACCCTGGTTGATGATCTGGGTGTTATGTTAGACCCCAAGTTAAAGTTTTCCGAACACATTTCTACCATGGTAAATAAGGCCATGGGCGTGCTTGGGTTTATAAAGAGGTGGTCAAAGGAATTTGACGACCCCTATATAACAAAGACTCTCTATGCCTCGCTTGTTCGTCCGATCTTAGAATACGGCTCCTGTGTATGGTGCCCTCAGTACAAAGTACACCAAGACCGTATAGAATCAGTACAGAAAAACTTTTTACTCTTTGCTCTGCAGGGCCTTAACTGGGATGCGGGTGTAAGACTCCATCTTACTCTAGTAGACTACTATTAGTATACCTCCAATCCTTAGTTAACCGTAGAAAAATGCTTGCTGTGATATTTATGCACAACTTGATCAGGGGTGACATAGACAGCCCTGATCTGTTGAGCCGCATGAACTTCACGATTCCTATTAGACCTACTAGAAATTGTATACAGTTGTTCCTTCCACTTTGTAGATCGAATTATTCCTTGCATGAACCGTTTAGGGTCTTATGCTCGGATTATAATTCTCTCTACCATATCATATCCACCACTAATTCTCTTTCTCTTATTAAATTTCTAATCCTTACACACCTTTCTAGCAATTAGTAATTGTAGTGGTATTTTTATTTTTATATTTATTTTTAATGCATGTCTAGTTCTCTTAAAAACTTTCGTGCTAATCTTTCTCGAATTATTTACCATAATGGACTTGATCTAGAATTGAATGGGCATCCATTTACCTCTCTCCCCTTGTGCATTGTCAATTGATGCTTTTGAACAACAATATTCAGTACTTTTTCAACAAATTTGTACCACTAAAAACCAAAATCACCAAACCAAGACAAATTCCATGGTTTAACAACGAGATACAAAAAATAACTTTTTAACGAGATTCTGTCTACAGTAAATGTTAACAAAATTATGAGATCTGCTAAGCGTGATTACTATAAATCTAAGTTCCAAAATTGCTCTATCATTAAGCAAAGATGGCGTGAAATGAATTTTATAGGAATAGGCAAATGTAAACAAAAGACTGAGCTTGATATAAATGTCGAAGAACTTAACAAAAAGTTCTCGATAGTTGATGTACATGAAGCGACAAGCAACA